TTCCCTGTGATGAGAACTCCTAGGACTTTCTTAACTTTCACATATAACGCCCGGCAGTGTTAACTGTATTTATCATGTTGTACATCACATCCCTAGTACTTCTCTATCTTACAACGGGAAGCTTGTACCTTTTGACCCCCTTCGTCCAATTCCCCCTCCCGACACTGTCCCGCTTCTGTAACCACAAATCTGATCTTTTTTTCTATGAGTTTGTTTGTTTTTGAAGTATAATTGACCTACAACACTATGTTAGTTCCTGTTACACAACATAGTGATTTGATGTTTCAAAATGATCACCAGGATACGTCTGGTTATGATCTGTCACCATACAAAGATATCATGTAGTTCTTGGCTGTATTCCCCACACTGTACATTTCATACCCATGGCTCATTTATTTTGCAGCTGAAAGTTTGTCCCTCTTAATCTCCCTCACCTATTTCTATCCTCCCCTCATCCCCCTCCCCTCTGGAAACCACCTGTTTGTTTTCTGTATCTATAACTCTGTTTCTGTTTTGTTATGTTTGTTCATTTGTTCTGTTTTTTAGATCCCACATAAGTGCAATCATACAGCATTTGTCTTTCTCCGTCTGACTGACTTCACAAAGCATTATACCCTCTAGGCCCATCCGTGTTGTCTCAAAAGGCAACCTTTCGTTCTTTTGTATGGCTGAGTAATATTCCGTTGCGTATATGTACCACATCTTCTTTATCATTCATCTATGGATGGGCTCTTAGGTTGGTTCCATATCTTGGCTGTTGTAAATAATGAGGCAATGAACACGGAGGTGCAGATATCTTTTTAGATTAGTGTTTGCATATTCTTCAGACAAATACCTAGAGGTGGGATTCCTGCATCCTATGGTAGTTCTATTCTTAAGTTTTTGAGGACCCTCCATACTGCTCTCCACAGTGGCTGCACCAATTTCCACTCCCACCCACAGGGCACAAAGGTTCCCCTTTCTCCACACCCTCGCCAACTCTTGTTATCTGTGTTCTTTTAATGATGGCCATGCTGACAGGTGTGAGGTGATATCTCATTGAGGTTTTGATTTGCATTTCCCTGATGACTAGCGATGTTGGGCATCTTTTCATGTGCCTGTTGGCCATCTGTATGTCTTCTTTGGAAAAATGTCTATTCAGGTCCTCTGCCCATTTTCTGAGTTGTTTGTTTTTTGATGTTGAGTTGTATGAGTCCTTTGTACACTTTGGATATTAACCCCTTACCAGATATATCGCTTGCAAATACCTTCCCTCATTCAGTAAGTAGCCTTTTCATTTTGTTAATAATTTCCTTCACTGTACAGACACATTTTAGTTTGATGTAGTCCCATTTGTTTATATTTACTTTTCTTCCCCTTGCCTGAGGAGACAAATCCAAAAAAATATTACTATGACCAATGCCAAAGAGCATACTGCCTAGGTTTTCTTTTAGAAGTTTTATGGTTTCAGGTCTTACATTTAACTCTTTAATCCATTTTGAATTTATTTCTGTAGATGGTATGAGAGAGTAGTCCAGTTTGACTCTTTTGCACGTAGCTATCCAGTTTTTCCCACACCATTTATTGAAGAGGCTGTCTTTCCCCCACTGTATATTCTTGCCTCCCTTGTCGTAGATTTATTGCCCATATAAGTGTAGGTTCATTTCTGCGTTCTCTATTGTGTTCCATTGAGCTGTGTGCCTGTTCTTGTGCCAATATCATACTTTTTTGATTACTATAACTTTGCAGTATAGTTTGAAATCAGGGAGTGTGATACCCCCAGCTTTGTTCTTCTTCCTCAAGATTGTTTTGGTTCTTCAGGGTCTTTTGTGTTCACATACAAATTTTCGAATTATTTGTTCTAGTTCTGTGAAAAATACCATTGGTATTTTGATAGGGATTGCATTGAATCTGTAGCTTGCCTTGGGTAGTGTGGTCACTTTAACAGTATTAATTCTTTCAATGTATGAACACGGTATATCTTTCCATCTGTTTGTGTCATCTTCAGTTTCTTTCATCAGTGTCTTACAGATTTCTGAGTACAGGTCTTTTACCTTCTTAGTTAAATTTATTCCAAGTTATTTTATTCTTTTTGATGGGATTGTTTTCTTGGTTTCTCTTTCTGATAGTTGCTTGTTAGTGTATAGAAATGCAATAGGCTTCTGTATATTAATTTTGTATATGGCAGCTTTGCTGTTATACGATTGTTAAGTGGTGCAGCCACTTCGGAAAACAATCAGTTCCTCGAAAAGTTTAACGCAGTTACCACATGACCAGGAATTCCACTTCTAGGTTTATGCCCAAGAGAAAACATATCCACACAAAAACCTGTTCATAGCAGCATTATTCATAATAACCAAGGTAGAAACAAATGCCCACCACCTGACGAATGGATCAACAAAATGCAGTCCATCCACATGGTGGAATATTATTCAGCTATAAAAAGGAATGAAGTACTGACACATGCTACTTTATGGATTAACCTTGAAAACACGCTATGTGAAAGAAGCCAGACATGAAAGGTCACATCTTGTATGATTCCATTTACTTGAAATACCCAAAATAGGCAAATCCATAGAGATGGTAGATTAGGAGCTGGGGGAGGGATGACTGGAAATCGGTGTGAGGCTTCTTTTGGGGGCAATGAAAAGGTTCTAAAGTTAGATCCTGGTGATGGTGCAGACTCTGTGAATATACTAAACCCTCTGCACTGCATACTTTAACCAGGAGGATCTTATGGGATGTAAGTCACATCTCAATAAAACTGTTTCTAGAAGCCAGGATTACACTATTTGGAGAACACGGTGGCTGGGCTCATCCCAACCCGTTGGAGCCGGCTGTCCACAGGTCAGCACCACCCAGGTGGCCCCGGGTGAGCTGCTGTCAGAGGGTCTGGGCCCGAGGTGGCAGCAACCACGCTGGGTTTCTAAGCCCTTGGATCCCTCAGGGGTCTGGAACTGTGCATCACCCGCTCCTGCTCACCAGGGGCCTCCCTCATGGTGGCTTCCAGTGACGTCCGATCTCTTAGGTCCTCCCAGCGGGACATCCCTTGGGATTCCATGTTCCTCCCCAACCAGCGTGTCCCTAGGACCCAGGAGTGGCCTCTGCCAGTCCACTTCATCCCAGCCCGGTGGGGTGATGTGCCCAGGAGTGGGGGGGACCCTCATGGGCCCCAGGCTGGGTCGGCAAAGCAGAGATCAGGGTGACCACCTGCAGTGATCAGCGTGGCCCGGAACCCGGGACCCCTGTTCGGGTCTTTTGATTGCTCTGATTAAACAAATAAGTTCAGTTCACATGCATTCTGATTAAGTCACTCAAATCCTTTTTGAAGGAGAGGAATAATTCACAATAAGCAATTTAAATTTCCACTTCCCACGAGCGGATTTCCATCCGTCCTAGAAGCTGAGAGGATTGCGACCTCCCCTCGGCTGTTTCCTGGGCTGCTGTCCGCCAGGCCGGGCCAAGCCCAGGACTTGTCCCCACAACGGGGCATGGCCAGTGGCACCCCAAAGGCCCAGGGCCCCTGGGACAGTGTCCTGTGGCTGTTAGCAGAATGTGAACAGAATTGATTGGCATCCTAACAGGTTTACTATGTAATAGTCTTAAAAATAACATGCTTTTTAAAGAATCTTAAGCCTATTGAAATTCAAAGACAAGATCTCCTGCAGTGTGAAAGCCCAACTGTCAGATACCATTTGTTCCATTTGGTGCTGCGGTGACACTCCCCCTCGAGGTCTGTTGCCACCCTGGGCTCTTTTCCTCTGCAGTTACGGAAGAGCTTCTCTATGACCCACTGCAGCTGCTGCGGTTGAATTTCTTGCAATCAGTGTTCTTGGCGTGTCATTATACGGCACTTGATTGAGAGTTTTGTCTGAGAATTCACTCTCCTTCTGAAAACCCTTGGCTAGATGCTCAGTTACCTCCAGGCATTGTGTCTGCAAATACTGCAGCCAAGGCAAGTGTGGTCACCTGGGGTGTTGCAGGGCCCCGAGCCCAGGTGCTCCCCTGGAAGGGGGGGTGTCCAGCCCGATAGGGGATACCTCATCCTCACAGGGCCAGTCCAGCCTCCTCCCAGGGCTGGGGGCTTGATATTCTGGAGAACTTCCTCCCATGGTGGGGGTCCGTCTCCAGATGAGACTAGAGCAGAATTATAAAGGGGCCCCTCGTTGTGCCCCACGGGCAGGGACCCTCTGCAGTCAGAGGGTTTTCTCCTGAGCCGTTGCTGGGCTGCTCTCCAGAGCGGCCGGCAGTGAGGAAGCTGCCCCCTCGGAGCTGGCTGTGGATTTCACTACAAATGAGACCAAGTCAGCTGGGAGGAGCAGCGCTCGGTGAGACAGCAGGTGCAGGGAACTGACTTACTGGATGTCTAAACTGGTCCCAGAATCTAAAGCTTTCAGGGTACTGATTTAGCAGACCATCTGGGAAGCTGCAGAAGCCTGGGCTTGCCTCAGGGCAATCCACGGTCAGCTCTGCATAACAAGGTTCTTATAAAACATCATTTTGGACAACACTGGTTATAGAGATAAAAGTATTTGAAACAAAAATTTAGTGAGGTTTAAAACTGTCTCAGGGCTTCCCTGGTGGCACAGTTGTTAAGAATCCGCCTGCCAATGCAGGGGACGCGGGTTCCAGCCCTGGTCCGGGAAGATCCCACATGCCGCAGAGCAGCTAAGCCCGTGCGCCACAACTACTGAGCCTGCGCTCTAGAGCCGACGCACAACTACTGAAGCCCGCCCACCTAGAGCCCGTGCTCCGCAACAAGAGAAGCCACTGCAATGAGAAGCCTGCGCACCGCAACGAAGAGTAGCCCCTGCTCGCTGCAACTAGAGAAAGCCCGCGGGCAGCAACGAAGACCCAACACAGCCAAACATAAATAAAATTAATTAATTAAAATAAAATAAAACTCTGTCTCAGAATTTAGGTGAATCTCTTAGGTGTGGATAAGATTTCAGGACTATTTTTTGCTGGAGTAACTGGACCCTAGATGTAATTACATTTTGCATCTCCCCCGTCCCCCCAGATTTCTCTGAGATGTGGTGCCTTGTTTTTGGGTGTCCACGTTCAGCCCCAGGCTGTGTTGGGGGAGTGGCCTCGGGCAGTGTCTGAGCTCACTGTGAGGTTGGGTTACCTCTACTCACCTGGGCTTCCTGAGTACCACTCGACTGGTGTGGTGTTTCAGTCCTTGCCTTGCTGTGCTAAGGAGGAGGTGCCCCTCCCACCAGAGAGGGACTTGCCCTCTCACAGGCACCCCTCCTGTGGAGTAGGGGGGAGCATTCCATTCTGTGTCTGGACCATGTGTGTCCACTTTTCCTCCCAGAATTCATTCCACAGCTGGCTCAGTGGAGGTTTTCTGGAGTGGAGGTGCCTCTCCAAGCCCCCTAACCCAGACTCCAGCCCAGGCCCCGAGCTGGAGGGCTTGGGGAGGGCCTCCCCTGGCCCACTGGGAACCAAGCCCATAGCCAGCGCTGTGCCATTTTTGAGCCTGAGTCTGGAGAAGTACTTCCCACCAGCCAGGCCTGGCGCTGGCCACGTGTCCTCAGGTCGGGGCCAGGGTTCGGGGATCTGAAGGGTCAGAGACTAGGGATGGTTCTGCTCTGGGCGCTGGACTGTGGGCCAGGGCTGGCAGGCCGAGGGGCCAGGTCCACTTCTGCAGGGGGGCGGTTGAGCGGCCCAGACCCCCAAGTCCGCGCCGGCGCGTGCGCACGCGCACACACACACACACACACACACACACACCCCGCAGGTGCACACACGGGCAGTGGGTGGTTCAGCGCCCCCTGGCGAGCCCTGGAGAGGCGCCGGCGTCCTTACCCTCGTGCTCGCCTGCGTTTCTGGGGCTGCTGGTCCTCGGCCTAACACTGCGACCTCCCCGCCTTCAGGGGCAGCGGCCCCGAGGCCCAGCCTCGCTGCACCCTCCTGGCCGTCGCGACTTGGTCCTGCCCTGTGAGATGTGGGGGGCCCCGCGTTTGGGGCCCCAGTCTCTTCCTCCTTCCGCTCCGCACGCTCGCTCTTCCGGGCTCACCTGGACACCTGCGCCCCAGGGCCCCTCCGCGTGCCCTGCCCTCTACCCCTTTCCGGTTCTCTGCAGCCCGGCCCTTGCGCCCTTGCCCACCTCCCCGCCCTTCTCTGGGCGCCCCCTTCTGCCTGACTCGAAGGACCCAGGGGCCCGTAGGCAGTGGGCACGCGCGGTGGCTGCGCCTGTCCCCGACCTGGGACTCCGGGTGGAGGGGTTGCTCGCACGCTCGCTGTGGGTCACGCCTCCTCCTGGGGTTGAGGCCCCCGTGGTGCTCTGCCAGCAGGACGTCGGGGCGTGTTCAGCCGAGTTCCGGGACAGGGCGCTGGGGGTGGCAGCGATGCTCGCAGGAATGACGTGGTTCCTTAGCGTCTCATTTCTCACTTATCACGGTCAGTTGACTCCACCGCCGCGATGACCGCACCAGGTGCAGACCCCCCGGGCGCCGTGCGAGGTACCCCGTGTGCTTTAAGCCCACTTTGCAGGTGATAAACTGAGGCTGGGATAAGGTCACGGCCGGTAAGTTACTGAGCGGGACTTGAACCTGGAGCCCACCCTGGACCCGTATCCAGCACGCATCCTGTACATTCGGTGCCCACCTGGTTCCTCTTGCCACCTGAGCCTCAGACTGCTCCCATGCTCTGGAGGGCCCTTGATTCCTCTAACCGAAATGGCTTGTTTTGTTATTATTACCATAGGGGTAAAATAGTTATTGATGCAACTCGAACGTGAAGCCATCAGCCTTTCCTGGGCAAGCACTTGGCAGTGTTTTGTGGCAAAGGGCTGCGCCCTTGAGGCAGCAGGGTTCACAGTGGCCTGGCTGGCCTCCGCACAGCTAAGGACAGGCCACCTGTGGTGCCAGGTCAGGCTGTAGGCACGTGTGGGGCCAGCTGACTGTCCACTGGCACCTGCCCAGGGTGGGTGGGTTCCGGGGTTCAGCAGTGATCTGGTCTGCAGCCCAGGACAGGGCCAGCCTCCCGGGGGGATGGATGCTCCCTGGGCATACAGGCTTGACACGTGGTGTCTGTGCAAGCTGACCCACTGTGGGCCCGCGAGCCTGGACCCTGAGCCACAGAGCCTGAGGCCTGGTGGGACCTGCTGGCTCACCCTCAGGGCCACATGGTGCCAGCCGGGATGATGGCTCTGTGCTCTCTTGTCCCCATCACCCAGCAGGAGCCAGTAGGGAAACTGAGTCACGGGAAAAGGCCTTCCTCTGTCGGGGGGCCAAGTGACAGGTGAGACTGCTTACTGGGTATGGGATACTGGGTGGATTTGTGCATCTCGCTCTCTGAGCCTGAGTTTTTCCTTCTGTAAATTGTTGGATTAGGGGAGTTAGATGACACACATTCAGCGCTGGGTGGTTATCTTTGTGATTAAACTGCACCCAAACCCTGACCACCCATTCCTACAACCACCAGGGATGGGCCCCCCTCTAGTCTCGGTAGGAAGCAGCTGGCTGCCCCAGGGGCTCCCTGATGGGGGGTGCTGGGCAGACTGAGCGAACCACGGGCATGGTGATGTGCTTCTGGTCAGTCCCGTACCTAGGCCTGAAGGCCACAGGGAGGGCAGGTACCCGAGTCCTGAGAGAGAGCAGGGGCCGGAGGGGCACCCAGTGGGAGCCCTGGTGGAGAAGCCTGGAGTGGGGAGGGGGCAGTTGAGTGGGGGTGGGGCAGGAGTCACCAGCCACCAGCCATCCACGGGCCAGATGGCAGGGCTGCCACCATGTGACTACAGGAGCGTGTGCCTATCTGGGGCGCCAGATCCGCTGATGGTGGCTGGTGGTGCCGCCAGGTCAGCGCTGGTGTACCGATGCACTCCTGTGGACAAGGCCGACCTTGGGGATATGGGTCATGGCCAGCCGGGCACTGCAGAACTCAGAGGGGACAGAAGCGTGGTGGAGAGTCGCAGGAGGGTCTGGGTGAGTGTTTGGAGGAAGTGAGAGGTCCCAGCCCTGGTGACCAGTGGTCAGTGGGTTTCCTTGGCAGTCCAGTGTGGCCTGGTCAGCTTCTCCCGTGCCCAGGGCCTGAGGATCAGCGGGTGGTCGGATGCACAGCACGGGGAGCAGCCAGGTTCAGAGTGTGTGTGACTTGAGGCTTTTCGCTGGTTTCTCTGCGATGCTCTTGGATTTGGGTGTTGAGTGGGGAGTCCGAGGCTTTACTGGAAAACTGTTCCAAGCAAGGCCCAGGGCCTGGGCTGGGCTCTTAGGCACCCAGCCCTCACGCCTGAGCTCCCTGCGCTCTGTCCAGCTGAAAGGCCCACCTGGGGGTCCAGCGAGATCCGCAGGGCTCTTTTCTGCTGAGTGTCAGGGTGGTGGGGGTCCCGTGGGGTAGTACGTCTCGGGAACCAGCGTTCGGAGCCCAGGTCGTGTCCTGGGACAGCTGCTGGGGGGCTGCTGGCGGGGCAGGGGGCTGGGGCTCTGCGCAACCGGGGCTGCACTCCATTGCTGAGCTTGCGAGGCGGGTGTGAGGGGGCTGGTCCTTTCTGACCTGGCCGTGCTGCCTGTCCTGCCATCTGTCCTGCCCACCTGTCCCACCATCTGCCTTCTCTTCTTGTTCCCTTCCTGGAGCTTGGCTGCGACTGCGCTGCTGCCCTGCAGCGACAAGGCATCCTTCTAAGGTTCTTCCGCTGCAGTGTTTACTTCCTATTTGGGAAGCAAGAGGCGTGAGAGGGATCCTGCCCTGGTCACTCTTACCTCCTCCTCTCTCCCACATGGGCTCCTGAGTATCCTTAGAGTGAGACCTGGGCTGGCTGCCAGCCCTGCCGTGTCCACTGATGTGACCTTGGCCATTAGTCTTCTTCATCTGGGTCAACACTGGGCCACCTCACAGAGGGGTCTGGGTGGTACCCGCTGAGGCACAAGCAGTGCTCCGCACCGGGCTAGGGACACTCGTGGTTCATGCCACATTCTGCCGCAGCCCAGCTGGCCAGCCTCACAAAGGCTGGGTCCCTCCAGCATTGTCACATGCCTGGCTCGGACGGGCTCCTGAGGGCGGGGCCTGAGCTCACACCCACCTGCATCCTGTATCCCACATCTGCATCCCCATCCTGCATCGCAGAACAGGTGTTTGAATGAATGGATAATTTCATCAGCTTTACAAAATTAGTTCTGAATTAGTCAGCTTTTGCACTTTGGACTGATTCAGCACTGCTGTGTTTTTGGGTGTTTGAGGCGTCTTTGGGGCTGCTTGTTCACTACTCTCCTAGCCTCCTAAGCTAAATGCTACCTTCATTAACTTATTTTTGTCCTGTAACACTGAAATCTGTCATTGCTATGAATTTATTTTGAGAAAATATTGACATCGTGTGCCAAAAAAAGACATTCCTACTGGGCTCTATTTTATTCTCTTATAGTTTTTATTTCAAAATTGGGTGAGTACTTCTTCGTATTTATATCAATTGATTTTCTTTGCTGTGGACATTTTACTTAGGGACATTTAAAAGTCTAATTTAGGGGCTTCCCTGGTGGTCCAGTGGTTAAGACTCTGCGCTCCCAGTGCAGGGGGCCCAGGTTTGATCCCTGGTCAGGGAACTAGATCCCACATGCCGCAACTAAGAGCCCGCACACCGCCACGAAGACCCTGCATGCCGCAACTAAGACCTGGTGCTGCCAAATAAATAAATAAATAAAAAATAAATAAATAAAAGTCTAATTTATAATTTGATTTTAAATGTTGTTGAACGAGGCTTCCTGATTCAAACCAAAGAGAGAGAGTTCCTGTTCCGAATCTTTACCTTCCTCCAGTCGGCAGGCCTTCGAGCTGGCCTGAGGGTGACCCTGCCCTGCTGGACCGATTTAGTCCTGAGTGATGAGCCGGCTGGAGACTGCTGTGTTTGCTTCATTCTTTGCATACTTAGAAATGGAAATGTAGCACCAAAATTTTCTTTTGGATTCTGTTAATCAGCACAGATTGAGTTTTGTAAGTTGTGTTCATTCATTTCCTGGACTTCTGCCCGGAGGTTCTGTCTCCCTAGCGTCTGGGGTGTCCGGGTGAGTATGGCGGCCGCACTCGGTTAAGATTCTCCTGCTGCTCCTCGGCATCCCCGGGAGACACAGGGAACTTTTGATTCTTCTTTGGAAATGCCAGTCCTGAGGGGGCTGGAAAGCTGTCTCAGAATATCACTTAAAATTTAAAAATCAAAAAAAAAAAAATAAAAATCGCACAGATCTTTTGTGTCTCAACAAAATAAAGATAATTGTTAGGTTAAAATTTTTTTTTTTTTATTCTCTAGTTTCTGCTGTGTGTGTGTGTACTCGCTCAGCTCTCTTTTTGCTAATGGTCAACACATTCGTAGGTGTGCTCTTAAGGTCTTTGATTTACTGAAAACAAAGCAAGGTGAGCCCAAAGGGTTTGTCTCTGTGCATCAATTCCAAGGTGGCAGATTCCACCACGCCCACCCCGTGCCCTTCGCAGGGAGAGTGGGAGGCTGTTCGTGGTCACGGAGACGTTTAGCCCACGCAAGGCTTGTGGGGGTTGGCTGGGGTCCTCCAGGACTGGGTGCTGTTGTTTTCTTCCCTGGCCTCTCCCCGGGCAGGCAGGCCCTTTCCAGTTCTCCACAAGCCCCACTGCTCCCTTTTGTCTTCTCTCCCATGTAGGTGTCTGCTAGGCCCTGAAGACACGAGATTGAACCCTGGTTGGGGGGTCAGAGGGCAAGGGTGTCTCTCCCTCCTCCCAGCTTCTGAAACTAAGAGGAGGCTTCAGGGTGGGAAATGGGTCCAAATGGGCCTTAATGGAGGGATGTGGGTCGGGGTGGGGGGAGCTTGACTCAGGGTGGCAGGGACAGTGGGTGAGGGCACCATTCAGAGAGCCAGCCGGCTCCCCACCTCCCAGACCCTCTCCTTCCGTCTTTCCTTCCGGTCAGCACAACAGGAAAGGGGCAAAAATGTACTGCCAGCCCCTGACCCCAACCTGGTTCCTGTCTCATCACAGAGGGGTCACTGGTGGCCCTCCTGGGCATAAGTCAGCTGAGCCCATGGCGGGGGCCAGGGTCTGGACCTGCCCCATTCCTGGCCGTGTCCCCAGCCCTGCATCCTTGGCAGTGGGCGCGCAGGTGCCTTTGCTGGGTGTGTGCACGGATCGGTGAATCCCCGCCGCTCTCCTGTGGAAAAGTCCCAGGGAGGTCTCCCATTGGCCCTGCCTGGGTCACATGTCCGTCTCCTGGGCCAATCACTGAAGCCCCCCTCCCCCCTGCCCGAGGTCGGCTCAGCCTGCCTGAGGGGCTTACTCACCACCCAAGGGGTTTGGGCCACCATCCCGAGTGACCCAGAGTCAGGCACTGATGAATGACCAAGTCCCCTGAGCGGAGGAAAGAACCACCCTGGGATGGGCCACATAGGGGGAGGGGGGGGAACACGGGCTCCATCGAGCAGTGAGCTGAAAGAAATTACAAAAATAAGTTACCTTATGTTCAACAAAATGTAGGGTGTAAAGACAGCCATGTGCTGATTCTTAGGTAGAAGAAGGAGGGAACCGAGGGTTGATTGGGTGTCTTTCCTTCTCTTCTGTCTTTCTCTGTCCCATCCTGAAGGGCACCTTTTATAAAAACATGTTTGAGGGCCTTACCACCCTTCCCGTGGGCTTGTCCTAATCCTGGAGACTCAGATCCAAGGGGACAGCCCTTGGCACCTCGGCTGGAGGGAGCACAGCGCGGAGGCCTGGGGTGGGCGTGAGCGTGTGGACAGGCCAGCACGTGGCCGGCGGGGCTGGAGCTGGGGACAGACCTGGGCGGTCACGTGGCCGGCAGGACGGGCGGAGGCGCACGGAGCTGGGCCTTCGCTCCAAGGGTGGGGTTACGCCTGAAGACCCAGAATCAGAAGAACGCCCCGTGCCTTTCGTGGGAGGTGAGCCTCTGAGAGAAGCGTTTCCCGCCACAAAACCCCGCACCTCCTGGGTCGTGGAAACTGGGCTGAGCGCTGGGAGGAGGCTGGGGAGCGGCCCGCGCCCTTCCTTCAGCGGCCGCCTTCATCACTTCAGTTTAGTTTAGGACTAAAACTCCTTTCTGAGCGCTGATTCCACCGTCCCGCGCCCCGGCCCTCCCCAGCCCTCGTCTGGGGTCCTTCTCCCCGCCCCCGGGGCCTCAGGGGAGCCGGCGGGGTGACGGGCCCCGCCCACGGTGGGGACAAGGCCGCGCCCCCCCGGGCGGCGCTCATCCCCTCTCTCCCCGCAGCGGTCGGACCCGCAGCTGCTGGCGCAGTTCTACCACGCGGACGAGGAGCTGAGCCAGGTGGCCGCTGAGCTGGACAGTCTGGACGGGCGGAAGGACCCCCAGCGCTGCACGCTGCTCGTCAGCCAGTTCCGCTCCTGCCAGGTGAGCGGCGGGACGGAGGGGAAGGAGGGCGCGGGCCAGGGGAGCGTCTCAGGGAGGGAAACCAGACCGGAGTGGGGCCGGGGGGACATCCCGGGGACAAGAGCAGGTTGGAAGGGGCGGGTTCGCGGGACACCCTCGGAGAGGAACGTGGGAGGACGAGGAGCCGGCACGAGGAAGGGGACGACGGCCCGCGGGGCCGCCGCAGAGCTGGCAGGGTGGCGACCTCCTGCTGTAGGGTTCAGCTGGTCCTGGACACCATGCTGGGAATTCCTCTCGGTTCCCTGAGCCCGGGAGGCTTCACCAGCACGAGAGCACGTGGATGAAGCAAGTTTTGTCAAGTGACCGTCTGGGTCGGTCATCAAGTTCCAGAACCTTCTCGGTGTATTCAGCCCAGCAGTCTGAGTCTCTCCACCGGGGAGGTGAGGGCTGTGCGTCCTAGATCACAGGGGTGGGTCTGGGGAAGCAAATGTCCCATCGTGTGTTTCAAGCATCAAGGGTTCTTACAGAATCCTTGAGGGGGCGGGGAGAGTACACCCCATCCCATTCACATCTCTCAGGAGGGTCCAGGGACCAAGGGGACAGGAGGGTCTCCCGACTGGCTGGTCTGTCGATGCCCTGCTTCCCCACCGGAGGATGTCCTTCCTGTGCCCTCAGCTCGCCCACCGCTGGCAGCGAGGAGGCCTCTCTCTGCCCCCTCCCCCCACCACAGGGTGGGGCTCCCTGCAGGGGGCTGTGTTTACTCCCAAGGCCACTTATGCCCGCTCACTGGCTATTGTAACTGCATGTTACACAGAGTGACCGAGTGGGGTGAAACTCGGCTTGTGCCTTGAAGAGCCTCGGCAGGGAAAATCAGAGAGGGGGGACGGCCCTGGGAGTGGATGCGTGTGAGGCCGCTTTAAAAAGGTCGAGAAACGAATCATAAAAATCAGCCAAAGTAGTTCACGCTCACATAGCGACACAAGCGTCTTTCACTTCTCACTGCTGTCTGAAGACCCCTGTGTCGGGGTCCCCAAAGCCACGCTGGGCTTCCAGCAGGAGGACACGCAGGGCTCACGTATACTCAAGGCTCTGATCCATCACAGTGAAGGGCTGTGAAGCAGAACCACCGAAGGGAGAGGGCCTGGGGGCGAGGTCCAGAGGAAACAGGCGCTAGCTTCCAGAACCCCGTCCTGTGGAGTGACGCGGGCCGCGCTCCACCCCCCAGCGACACGCTGTCCCCAGGGAAGCTCGTCAGAGACGCAGAACCGGGGCTCTCATTGCGGGCCCGCAGGCTCCGCAGGCCCCTCTGCCGGGCACACACCGAACTCCAGCCCCGGGGAGGGGGGAAGGGTGTCAGCACAGACACAGCAGGGGAGGCCCAGGGAGCCCCCCATCCCAACACCCCAGCTCCCGGACGCCAGCCCAGGGCCAGCCTCGCACGCAGGCCTCGCAGAGGGCAGCAGCCAGGCCCGCTGGGAGGACCCCTCTCCCCACAAACGCGTGGCTGAAAGTTATGGCTGAGGCATCCTGGGTGCTGGCTCTGTACTCAGCTGCCCGCCCCAGGAAAACGGACTCAGAAGAGGCGCCGAAGTGAGCCTCCCCGTGTGTACCGTAACTTCATAAAGGCTTGTCACTGTCACATTTGTTTCACTGGCCAGTTACTGGAGCTCCTTGTTTTGTCAGGGTTTCGCACTACAGTGAATTTCTACAAAGCTCAGCTATTTAGGTTGGAAAGTCACTTTTATTTCTAACATCTCTCTTGAAACAGGTACTTTTTTTTTTTTTTGGCTGTGCCGATCAGCTTGTGGGATCTCAGTTCCCCAACCAGGGATTGAATCAGGGTCATGGCAGTGAAAGCCCGGAATCCTAACTACTAGACCACCAGGGAACTCCCCGAAACAGGCATTTTGCCATTTCTAATTTTCATTGACCTTCACGATGCTGTCAGTTCATTTGTTCATTCATTCCTTCATTCAACAGCACTCACTTGCAGAGATGCCCCTGGGCAGAGGGTGGATGATGTCATAGGAGGGAGCCAGGCAGGCGCAGGGGAGGTGGGCATTTGGCAGGCCGTTGCGGTCAGGGAGGGGCTTCGACAAAGGCCAAGAGCACGGGGTGATGTGTGTGATCACAGCACGAGAACCGAGATAACGTGCAGGTCTGACGGAGGCGGCTGGCTGCAGCCCACTCTGCCGGGTCACTTGCTGGCCTTGATTTTAGAGCACGGTTGCCCTGGGGAGGTCACCCAACTCCAGATTTAGCTGGTCCCCCATCCCCTGAAGTTCCCAGCACCTGTGAGTCAGTTCTAGAGGATGTGGACGCCCCTGCCAAGTACCCAGAGGTCATGAATTTCTCGGCCCTGGGTAGTGGCTCAGCCCCCTGTCGGGGGCACCTCAGGCCTCCCAGGTCCCATCAGACCAGGTGGACCCTCAGCTGAGCAGGGGGCATCTGTGCAGAGTACGCATGGCAACGCCAGCCTGGCCCGGCTCTGCTTTCCGGGGGCCCCTGCGGGTCCTCACGTTGGTCTCAGTGCCGCTCAGGTCATACCTTCTGTCTGGGGTCAGCCAGACAGGCTGGTGCCATGCTGGGTGTGGTGTTTTGAACCTTCTGACCCGAAATGGGGTCTTCTAGCTAAGTCTCCAGCCTGACCAGGCACGCAGCAGAGGCCCAGTGAACCGCAGCTTCCCCCATGTGGCACTGTGGAGGGTGAGGCAGGTGCATTGCGGTTCAGCCTCTCTGGGCTGACTCACATCCCAGTTAGAAGGAATCTAAGTAATGCGCCTTTGCGTAAACTGAACTTTCTTCAGGAAAATTGTGGGCTAGGGCACACATGAGTATGCAGGTGGTTTCTGATGACGTTTGCACGGGTTTTCGTTTTCCTTCTTGCTTCAGAAAATCATAAAGGATTTAAGGAATCATGCTGATGGTGCAGTAGGATGAAATGCATTCTGGGCTGTTGTTATGCACTGAAGTGTGTCCCCACCCCTCCCCCAATTCATGTGTTGAAGCCCTAACTCATAGCGCCTCAGGTGTGACTGCATTTGGAGGTGGAGCCCTTAAAGAGCTGATTAAGGTAGAATGAGGTCACTGGGGTGGGCCCTGATCCAATCTGAGTGATGTCCTTACAAGAAGAGGCAGGTAGGACACAGACAGGCACAGAGGGACGACCACGTGAGGACACTAAATCCCTTATCAGACGATGACTTGCGAACATCTTCTCCCAGTCTGTGGATTATCTTGTCATTCTCCTAGCAGTTTTGCGAAGAGCCTAAGTTTCAAATTTTGATGCAGCCCAATTTACCTATTTTTTCCTTATATAGATCATCCTTTTGGTGTCATATCTAAGAAATCTTGGTCTAACCCAAGGTCATCAAATTCTCTCATTTTCTTTCAGAAAGAAAGAAAGGTTTTTTATTTATTTATTTATTTGGCTGCGTTGGGTCTGTTGCTGCGCGCGGCCTTTCTCTAGTTGCGGCAAGCAGTGGCTACTCTTCCTCGTGGTGCGCGGGCTTCTCACTGTGGTGGCTTCTCTTGTTGCGGAGCACGGGCTCTAGCCACACGGGCTTCAGTAGTTGTGAGGTTTTATATTTAGGTCTCTCATCCATGTTGACCTAACTTGAGTATATGGTGTGAGCTTTCAACCAACATTCATATTTTTCTTTGCAAATGAATTTTCAATTGTTCCAGCATCATTTGTTGAAAGACCATACTTTCTCACTGAAAAGGCTGTCCTTTTTGTACTAAATTGTTCTTGCACCTTTGTTGAAAATCATTTGTCCATATCTGTGTGGGTCTATTTCTGGGTCCTCTAGTCCGTTCCGCTGATCTGTCTTAAGGCCAGTATCACACTGTCATAATTATGGTAGGTTTAAAGTAAGTTGTAAAATCAGAGGGCATCAGATCTCCAACTTTGTTCTTCTATTTCAAAGTTGTTGTGGCTATTCTAGGTTCTTTGCATTTCCCTATGAAACTTAAAAACAGCTTGTAGATGTCTACAAAAAAAGCCTGAGTTTTTGATTGGGATCACATTTAATCTATAGATCAATTTTGGGAAAAGCATTGAGTTTTTCACCATTCAGTGTGATGTTAGCTATCGTAGGGTTTTCATAGATGCTCTTTTTCAGGCTGAGGAAGTTGCCATCTATTCATAGCTTGCTGAGAGTTTTATCAGGAATGGATGGATGTTGGATTTTTTTCAAATGCTCCGTGTCTGTTGAGGTTATCGTGTGTTTTCCTTTCCTCTTAGTTTGTTGATATGGTAAATTACATTTAGATGTTATTAACTATTTTTATTACTGTCCGCCCCATCACCCACAGCAACAGGGAGGGACAGATGGGATCAGCCCCTGTAAGGTTCCTACTGTATGTGTGAGGTGGTATCGAACTCTTTGAAAGTAGTCTTATGTCTTTATGTCATACGTGTTCGTCTTACATGTGTTTAGACTCACACTATATTGTCAGTGTTTTTGTTTAAACAGTCAAATGTTTTGTAAAGAAAATTAAACAATAATAAAGGCTCTTGCATTTTTCCCGTGCGGTCGCCCTTTCTGGTCTCTCTGTTCCTTCGTGAAGATCTCAATTTCCATCTGGTGTCTTTTCCCTTTTGCATGAAAGACTTTCTTTAGCATTTTTTGTAGTGCAAGTCTGCTGGTCATGAATTCTTATCTTGCCATCAACTTGGAAAGCTATTTTTGCTGTGTTTAGAATCCTAAGTTATCATTTTCCCCTCAATACTTGAAAGATGTTCTTCCACTCTTCTCACTTGCATTGTGAGAACGCTAATGTCATCTTACCTTTGTTCCTTGTATGTACAATTTTTTCTCTTGCTACTTGTGAGATTCTCTTTTTATTAGTTTTCATCCATTTGATTATGCTGTGACTTTGTATCGCTTTCTTTGTGTTTCCTGTGCTTAGGGTTCATTGAACTTCTTGGATCTGTGAGTTTATAGTTGTCATTAAATTTGGGGAAAAAATTAGTCACTATTCCTTCACATATTTTTTTGTTTCAGTTCTCCTCCTCTTGGGTCTTGAATTATACATATTTTGACATATTGAGGTTGTCCTAGAACTCACTGATGGTCTCTTCATTTATTATTATTGGTATTTTCTCTCTGATAAATTTGGGAAGTTTCAATTGCTATGTCTCCAAGTTTATTGTTCTTTTTTTCTGACCTGTCTAATCTGAGGTTAATCCCATCCAGTGTATTTTTGTTTTCACCTCAGATACTGTAAGTTTTGTCTCTGGATCAGTTTGAGACCTTTTTGTTTCTTCATTGATTCTACGTAACTTTCTGAACACACACAAGTCAGTTATGACAGCTACCTTCATCCCCTGTTCTATCACCTCTGTCAGGTCTGGGTTGGTTTCGATGGGTTGCTTTTTCTTTTCATCATGTGTCATATTTTCTTAATTCTTTGCAAGCCTGGTAATTTTTTAAATAATTTTTTAAAAATTATTTATTTTTGGCTGCGTTGGGTCTTTGTTGCTGCACACGGGCTTTCTCTAGTTGCAGAGAGCAGGGGCTACTCTTCGTTGTGGTGCGCAGGCTTCTCATTGTGGTGGCTTCTCTTTGTTGCGGAGCACGGGCTCTAGGAGCGCGGGCTTCAGTAGTTGCAGTGCACAGGCTTCATTCGTTGTGGCTTGTGGGCTCTAGAGCACAGGCTCAGTAGTTGTGGTGCATGGGCTTAGTTGCTCTAAGCCCATGGGATCTTCCCGGACCAGGGCTCGAACCCGTGTCCCCTGCATTGGCAGGCGGATTCTTAACCACGTGCCACCAGGGAAGCCCAAGCCTGGCAATTTTTGAATTGGATGCCTGACCTTGGGAATTTTACCTTGCTGAGAGCTGAATATTTTTTTCCATAAACTTTTTTGAGCTTTGTTCTGTGATACAGTTTGGTTACTTAGAAATGGTTTGATCCTTTTGCATCCTGTTTCTTTAAGGTGTTAGGCAGGATCAGAGCTGTGTTTAGTCTGGGGCTAAGAATAGTCTGCTACTGAGGCAAGACACTTTCGGTATCTACCCAATGCCCTGTGAACCGTGAACTTCTCTACTCTTCGGGCCTGTGCCCAGCTGAATACTCAGGGGCCTCCCCAGAGGCTGTCTCCCTGGGCAGCTCACTTACGTCTGCTACTCTGTCCTCTGGATTCTGGCTGCCTTGGTCTCCCCGGGCTCTCAGCTCTGTCTCTTCAACTAGGGAGTTTGCTGGGTCCCACGTGGGTACCTTCTGTCTGTGCCACGACCTGAAAATTCCCTCCAGGCAGTGAGCTGGGCAGTCATAGCTCCCACCTCATTTGTTTCTCTTCTCTCTGGGATCACTTACTGCCTGACGTCCAGTGTCTGGACAACCGCTGTCTCATTTGCTTCCATTATTGTTGTTTGAAGAAGTAAATTTCATGCATGTTGCCCCACCTTGGGTGGAATCAGACGCCCCAGTAAACGTCGTTGAGGGACACTGTGTGTTCAGCACTGCTCTATCACTGGGGACCCATCAGTGCAGGGAAAAAGCCCTCGCCCTCAGACAGCTGCCATCCTGGGGCTGGGCAGGGTGGGAGCACTGCCACTAAAAGGCCACACAACTTTGGGTAAGCCCTGCCACCTTGCTGGGCTAAGATTCCTGGCTCTCAATACCAGCTGACGTTTTCTGAGCCCTTGCTGTTATTTTTGCCACTATTTGTTCATTGCTTCGTTGAATCGTGAGAAAGAGACCTGCCCACCCAGAAAACCTTTTAAACAGAGCTGACAATAGGACCACTTGATGTTGGTTGGATTTATTTTTATGTTTTGTGCGATTTCCTTATGGTGCAGAATTTCCTTCAGAGTTTAGTGCATCAGTTGTTTGCATTAGAAAGTCATGCTTCCCGCTCACATCTACTGCCTAAGAAAAATGAAACTCAAGCCTCAGAGGGTGGAGAGGAGGACTGTTGAGATATGAAATTGCTGAGGGTGAGGGTGTGCTGTCTTTTTTTGGAAAGCAACTTGGTGGAATGTAATTAGGGCCTATAAATGCACTTCACACTCTTTGACTTTGTAATGCTACTTCTAGGGATGAGTGGATTCTGAGGGACTAACCCAAAATTCAGTGTCAGGCACCGCAGTGGTGATCGCGTTACTCACGGTAAATTAGAAATGACGTAAATGTCCAGCAGAAGAGGAAGCAGGGAGTTAAAAGGATGGTCCGTGTGCTGGAATCTTACGTGGCTCCCCGTCACAAGCTGGATTTGTGGAAAGTGATAATAACAGGTCCCAACAGTAAATGACAGCAGCAGAGTACAAAATTATGTCCACAGATGATCCCAACCGTGCTGCTGATGGGAAGCAGCCCACGGGGACAAGAACCGGAAGCGTGCCACCTGCAGTCACTGTCCCAAGGACATTCCCTGCCCCTCCACTTTCCCATGTTTCCAGTTTCTCTGGGATGAATGGGTATTAATCTTACCTTTAACAAATTAAAGAAACAAACTAAACTTTCAACATTCTTACAATTCTACTGAATGGATGATGGACGTTTAAAGAACAGGACAATTTTGAGAAAAGAATGGGATGTAATTTAAGATGCAGTAAAACAGGTTTGAGAAGACCAGTCTTACACGTGGTCTCCTAGTGATGTCTGTCCCGACAGCAGGTCTTGCCTGTGTCGCGATCATGCCCAGGGTGACACAGGCTTATATGTTAATCAAAGCAGCACAGCAAGTGGGTGGTGAAAATCCACTTTTTGTGTGTCTGTCCACCTAGCATTTCCATTCCTCCAGCTCTCTCCTAAGAAATTTGTGTACAGGAGTTCAGAGAGATGCTCGGGGCGGTCATCGTGGCTGAGGCTGCAGGGAGCCCAGGTGCACAGGTCCGCAGGGAAAGGTACAGCCGTCACAAAGGGCGATGCACCATGAACTTGGTGACTGACGTGGGACGCGCCCTCAGCCCTCGTGGCGGGTGCTCTAGACACCTGGACGTGGGGAAGGGTGTGCTCTTCACTCTGGATACTTCTGGAAAGTTTGAGCTCCTTGTAGCAGTTGCAGAGCAGGCCCACGTGTGCTACCACATCACCTCGTCACCCTAACCTGCACTGGGCTTGCTTCTCCGACTTTCCAAGCAGTCGTGTCAGCCGCCAGCTGGAGCTGCGTCTGAGCGCACTTCCTGTTTCTGTTTCAGGACAACGTGTTAAACATCATTAACCAGATCATGGATGTGTGCATCCCCCAGGACCGCGCCCCACGGGATTTCTGTGTCAAGTTCCCCGAGGAGATCCGGCACGACAACCTGGCCGGCCAGCTCTGGTTTGGCGCCGAGGTAGCGGGTGGCCGCCGGGGTCCAGGGTCACGGTGCTGCAGGGCCCGGCGTCTCCCCCTCCAAGGGTTACAGATGGTGCTGAGCCTGTAGGGTGGTGGGGAGGCGAGAACATGCTCCCTGGAAACTATACACAAGCAGATATAGACACGAGGCCTCACATGTGATTTCTATGAGGTTCTCAGGCCCCCAGACACGTAGGGCCTAAAAGCGGTTCTTATTACAATAATGCTGGTATTCGGAACAGCACTGCCCGTCCTGCACCCGCAGGACTGTTTCTTCTTGCGGGGCGGGGCAACTGCGCCCTGGCCCACACTCCAGCCGCCACGCACAGGGCCCCTCCCATCTTGGTCTTCACCTCCTGAGGAGGAGCCTGAGGCACGGGAGGGAGGTGCCCGCCCAGGGAGGCAGGACCAGCCTCACCCCAGCCAGTGGTGACCCGTGGGACACCCAGACGACCCCTTGGCCTTGCTCTCGGGACCCTAGGGGTGTGCGCTGCCCCGTCCTCCCTGCCTCAGCTCTGCAGGACTCCTGGAATGCCCCCCTCCCACACGCTGCCGGGCCCTCGTGCCCACCGGCTCCCCCCTTTCAGCCCACTCCACCCGGCTCCTCTGAGCCGCACCTGGTTGGGCGTCCCTGCTGGGGCCCTGGGTAGGCCGTCTCTCCCCCCAGCCTCAGTGCTCAGCTCTGCAAAGCGGGTCCCAGGGGCAGGGGCAGCTGTGCAAGCCATGCGGTGATGCAGGGAGCCTTTACGGACACGAGGCGTCTGCTTCCTAGAACACCTGGATTTCCTGGGGAGCCGCGGTCAGTCCCGGTGCGGTGGACCTGGAGTACGGCCGGAACCTGGCGTCTGTGGGCCGGGTGGGGAGGGGACAGGAGTCACATGGCCCGGAGGCCCCTGCATGGAGCCCCCAAACCCGAGGGCACTTGTTCTCACCGCCGTGATGGCTCTGCATCTAAGAGAAACCAGGAGGGAGCAGGCGCCCCAGAGCGGAGGCGGGGGGTGGGGGGGCAGGAATATGAGGGAGGGGCTCCCGGAAGGGAGGCCTGGGAGGCGTCTCCGGGATGAGGCGCCCCAGCCCCACCGTTGCTCTGCCCTCCGGTCCCACCTCTGGCTGTACAGTCTTCTCGGGCGCCGTTGGGGGGGCCTTTCTCAGCGCCCGCTGTCGTGGGTTCCGGAAGCCCGCACGCTCCGGGCGCCGAGGACACGCGGGTGGGGCCTCCCTGACGCCCTCTGCCGCCCGCAGTGCCTGGCAGCTGGCTCCATCATCATGAACCGCGAGCTGGAGAGCATGGCCATGCGGCCGCTGGCCAAGGAGCTGACCCGCAGCCTGGAGGACGTGCGCGGCGCCCTCCGCGACCAGGCGCTGCGGGACCTCAACACCTACACGGAGAAGATGCGGGAGGCGCTGAGGCACTTCGACGTGCTGTTCGCCGAGTTCGAGCTGAGGTGACCGAGGAACCCTAACCCTTTGCCCCGTGGGGAGGGCTGGGGGCGGGCAGCTCCGCCGGCTCTGCGTCTGCAGCAGGAAAACTCCGCGGAGGGAGGCGCGGGCTGGTTCCGGGCCGTCGCGCGGGGGGGGGGGGGGGGGGCGGGAGCACGGCGTACGGGGAGGGGCGGAGGCGGGCAGAGGCGACCCAGGGACGCAAGGGACGCCGGGTCCCGCCCAGCACCTCTGCTGCTGGTGGTCCTGCGGGTGAAGGTCACGGTCAGCACAACGCCCCGCCCCCAGCACGTCTCTGTGCCCGGACGTGGGACGCGGCAGGAGCCAGGAGGAAGTGGAGGCCGCTCGGGGGCCTGCTGGGGCCCCCAGCTCCGTGGGGTGAGGGGGGCGCCTCTCCAGCTCAGCGGGTCTGCCCTTCGCACCCCCACTAGCTCCCTGGGGCGTTCCCGCCCGCCCACGGCAAAGGACATGGCGTGGTCCCTGGGGCCCTCACAGGACGGGCTGTGGAGGACCCGGGACTGCGGGGAGGGGCCTGCGCGGCGTCCACAGACACAGAGACGCTGGAGGTAGATGAGAAGCAGGACCCCAGAGCCCGTCCACGGTGGCCCGGTTAATGAAAACTGTCCGTCCTGTGCCTTGTGGGCCCCAGAATGAAGTCAGGCATTCCAGCCGGTTCTCTAGGGAGTGGGCGCCACAAATGAGCTTAATAGTTTTGGCCGGCTCTGTCTGCTCCACATCTTTCCAACTGAGCTTTCGTAACAAGAAAAAATAGTGACAGAAAAATGTTCTCACCTGGAGAGTGGGTGGAGCCCCCGGCCCTGCCCTGCGTGGGGGCCCAGGGGTTGTCCGCCCGCCCTGCACAGGGTCAGTCACTACCTCGAGGCTGGGGACAGTCGGGGCAGTGGGCAGTGGCGGTTCCGGGGTGGGCAGGGCTGTGGGACCCAAGGAGGTGCTGCTTGAGGCCTGACCCTGGGAGGAGCTTTGGCTCAAAATATAAACGGTGATGCTGGGGGGGGGGGGCGGTGTTTATGAAGCTGCTGAGATGCAGCCGGGCTCCAGTTGGAGGGACCTCATTTGGTTGTCAGTTAAGACACCCTTGGTTCCGGGAGATACCAGATGGCCCTCACTCCCTTCTCTTTGTTTGCAGCTACGTGTCGGCCATGGTGCCCGTGAAGTCCCCGCGGGAGTACTACGTGCAGCAGGAGGTCATCGTGCTGTTCTGTGAGACGGTGGAGAGGTGAGGCCACCTGGGAATGGCGGGGCTCCTGCTGCCCCGGGCCTGGGTGAGGGCTGCACCGGGACAGGGGCACCATGTGCATGTGCCACAGGGCCTCCACACACACGACTGTTCCTCAGCCCCAGTGTCCCCTTTCTCTGGGCCCAGACCCTGCAGGTGGAGCTGACATGGTTGAGAAGGGCTCCATGCTCACCTCCTCACCTCCCTCACCTCCCTCACTTCCTCACCTCCCTCACCCTCCTCACCTCCTCACTTCCCTCACCTCCCTCACCACCCTCACCTCCTCACCTCCTCACCTCCCTCACCACCCTCACCTCCTCACCTCCCACACCTCCATCACATCCTCACCTCACCTACCTCACCTCCCTCACCACCTCACCTCCCTCACCTCCTCACCTCCCACACCTCCCTCACCTCCTCACCTCCCTCACCTCCGTCACATCCTCACCTCACCTACCTCACCTCCCTCACCACCTCACCTCCCTCCCCTCCTCACCTCCCACACCTCCCTCACCTCCTCACCTCCCTCACCTCCGTCACATCCTCACTTCCTCACCTCCCTCACATCCCTCACCTCCCTCACCTCCTCACCTCCCTCACCTCCCTCACCTCCTCACCTCCCTCACCTCCTCACCTCCCTTGCCTCCTCACCTCCCTCACCTCCATCACCTCCTCACCTCCCTCACCTCCATCATCTCCTCACCTCCTCACCTTCCTCACCTCCTCACCTCCCTCACCTCCCTCACCTCAACTCCTCACCTCCCTCACCTCCTCATCTCCTTCACCTCCCTCCCCTCCCTCACCTCATCTCCCTCACCTCCCTCACCTCCTCACCTCCCTCACCCCCTCACCTCCTTCACCTCCCTCCCCTCCCTCACCTCACCTCCCTCACCTCCTCACCTCCCTCACCTCCCTCACCTCCCTCTCCTCACCTCCCTCACCTCCCTCACCTCCCTCACCTTCCTCTCCTCACCTCCCTCACCTCATCACTTCCTCACCTTCTCCCCTCCTTTCTCCTCCCTCCACCTCACCTCATCACCTGCATACCTCCTCACCTCCACTCCTCTTCTCCTCACCTCCTCACCTCCCCTCCTCTTCTCCTCACCTCCTCACCTCCCCATCTCCTCACCTCTTCCTCTCCTCATCTTGGTTCTGGGAGACACCCGGTGGCCCTCACTCCCCACCTCCTGCTTTCCTTTCGTCCACTCTTCTTCCCTACAGGCCAGGATGGAACCTTTGCTGAGCTGGGTTTTGGAGGTGAATCATCACTATTCTCATCGTGGCTTGTATGGGGTGTGTGGGGTCAGATTTGAAGTCAGATTTTCTGAATAGACTTTGGGACTAAGATTTAATCCAGAATGTTCCTTATATGTGACTTGCACTTTAGTAGTAGGTAAGTTTTGAAGGTGTCTAATATCACATCGTCAGTTTGTTAATTTTAAAGACGAATTATTCACTGTTATACGCTGAGAGATATTTCAAGTCACTCAAGAATAAGATGACAGGAAATACCCTTTATTTAGAACATGACGACGCCAGCAGCGCTTGCTCACGCACGTAGAGAAAGCGTTTCGTATACCTGCAAGAGAGAAGAAATCCAGGAGAGCAATTCGGGTTTCTTGGCAGTGTGAAATGGTTCGGAGCAGTGTTTCTGCTCCACGTTTATCCTTCCGCTTTGGGTGCCTGAGAGCACAGCTGTCCTCACTAGCTCCCCTCGGCGAGCACCCCTCACTCACCCCTGCTTCCTCCGTCAGCAGTGGGGTCGGGAAGTGGGAAGATGGGGCAGGCCAAGCGTCAGCCCCCTGCGCCGGAACTTGCAGAGCGGGGCTCGTCCAGCAGCTGGCCGCCAAGCGCCGACGTGGGTGAGGGTTGCACGGCTGCCTTGCCCTCCCCTGTCTGGCCGTGGGTCGCCCCTGCTCACTCTCTCCCTCCCCTGCCAGGGCCCTGGACTTCGGGTACCTGACCCAGGACATGATTGATGACTACGAGCCAGCCCTCATGTTCACCATCCCCAGGTTGGCCATCGTGTGGTGAGTGTTCCCCTGCCTGGGACCGTCGTTTCTCAGAAACCTGGCAGGATCGTCAGGTCCGTGGTGCCAGGCCCCTCTGGGTGGTGGTAAGTGGTACTTGTACCCCGAAGGGGGCTGCTCAGCCACCCCAGAGCAGCTGCCAGGTGGTCCTGCCCTTGTCCCAGCAGACAAGGAACCAGGTGTCCCGAGTGCCTCCCACTCAGCCAGCCTAGATGGTGCAGGACGGGTGAGCATGACAGCCACGTGCACTCCCAGCCCTGGGAAGAGGCCCCCACGCTCAGGCACAGGGGCCCCATCAGGGGCTGTGGGAGCGGCTTTGAAGGGACGAGAGGCGAGGTGCCCCTGGTCCCCCCCGGAGGATGTGGTGGGCGTGTTTGGAGGATTCATGGGCTGGCAGGGAGGTGGAGCCTGTTGGGTGAGGGGCAGGTGGGCGGCAGCCGGCCTTGCGATGGGGTGGGAGCATGGCTGCTGAGAGCAGGGGAGCGCTGGGTTAGGCCTCTGGGGTCTGTGGCCTCAAAGGTGTCACGGCAGCACGTGGGGTCAGTCGTGAAGCACGCTTGACAGGAAGTACTCGGTCACGTGCTGAGCCTTGCGGAGCCTCTCAGAGCCAAGGTCAGAGCCCAGCTGTTCTGGGCTTGGTCCACTCTGCTCAGCCGCACCCGGACTCCCAGACACAGACCGCCTTCCCTCCCGCCAGGTGAGGGAGCGTGGGGCGGGTGGGCACGGGCGCCCGGGGGGCAGCTGGGGTGCAGCTAGGCAGGGAGCCGGTTGTAGGTGTGGATGTCAGTGGACTGGCCTGGGGAGCGTGCGGGGGACACAGAGGCACAGGCCCTGGGGAGAACTCACTGCGGGTGAGCACCTCCTACGGCAGGTCCGTGGGGCGGTGGCAGCGCTGCAGGATGGGCCAGCCTCTGGGACAGAGGGGCGTCCCTGGACCGCAGGGAGCTGGACGAGTCATGTGCCGCGTGCGGGAGGGGTGGGGAGCAGGCCGGGCAGACGACCCTGGGCCGGGCCAGAAGCGGCTTCCACTGCCCAGGACTGTGGAGGTGTCGTGGCGGGGAGCCTGACGTGCCATGAAGCGCAGAGCGGACTTGGCGAGGAGGGCCCGGGGAGGTGGGCAGGCGGGGTGGGGCTGCCAGTGCCCAGCACTCGGGGAAGCCTGAGCGGCCGCCTCCAGTGTGCAGGGTCAGCTCCCAACACTTGAGTCTTGCCTTGGGCTTGGGGACCGGCCTGGCCCCCACCTCGCTCTTCCTGGCCTCACTGTGCTCCAGAGCTGCCTTCCCTCTGGGAGGTCTCTGTAGTGGTCTTGGGAGGAACCAGAACCTTTCCAGAACCTCCCGTCAGTTTCCACTGTCTTAGAGGGAACCTGTTCTAAATCTCGGGGGAGGGCCAGAGACTCTTAGACAGCACGCCCGTCTTAAGATAAAAGCAAGGACGTTGAACAGAAACACGTTTCTGGGTTTCCACGCTCGAGTCTGTGGTGTGTGCTCGGCTCCTTGCGGCTCCCCGGTGCCGGCGGCCCAAGGCTAGGGTGTGCAGGGTGGTGCTGTCCAGCCTCACCATGCTCACCGAGCTGGCCTTCCAAGGCCACTTCTCCCTGAGTGGGGTCATTGGGCCCTCTCTGCTGACCTCAGGCCACATTCTGACACCTGAACTTGTCTGGGTCCTTGTCTCGGGAGTGCCCTGGGCAGGGCCTTTTTCCTGTCGGGCACCTCCTGGAGGCCTCGCGTGGGGTCCTCTCCAGCTTAGGCTGGAGGGAGGCCTGGAAGCGGAGCCGCGGGGCCTCTGAGGTCATGAGGGGAGGCTCTGAGTCGCAGCGAGGAGAGGCTGGGTCTGAAGTTGAAGTGGAGGCGGGGCAGGAGCCCAGAGCCTGGGGGCTTCACGGCAGCCACTGAGAAGCCCTCAGGGCCCCTAGAGCCCCCAGCCCCCCATCAGAAGCAGGTCTCCAACCTCGCAGCCAGGCTGTGGGTCTGAGGATCTGAGGAGCGCCAGGCTTAACCAGAAGGAGTGGGGAGAACTGGCTTGTAAGCAGCTGGTCCTGGAGCCAGCCGCCCCCTTCAGGGACGCTCACAGGGTCCCTCTGGGACCCACAGTGCAGCCACCCGGCTCCCTCTCTCAATTCCTCGTTGTACACAGAGGCCACTGCTGCCCAGCTTGGGGCCCAGGACTCACTCCTTCCTGGATTCACCTGTGAGCATGTATTAAGCACCTACTGCATGCCGGCCCTGTGCTTGTCCCCATATATCTGGGGATGACCGTGAGGGAGGCGCACACGTACACAAGGCAAGCAGTTGCCATGGAGTATTCTGGATGCTGGGGTGCGGTTGGGGGTTTGGTGCAGGGACCGTCTGGGGTGGATCTCTTCTCCCGGGCCAGCGAAGGTTCCCGTCCAGTCCCCTGGCCCACCTGCTTCTTGGCAGCCGAGGGCTCGGGCCTTCCCGTGGCTCCAGCCCATGGGAGCAAAGGCGAGTGTGGACAATGCCCCCTGCCCGGCCCTCCGCAATCTCAGGGTCCCCTCCAACCTTCTCTCCCCGCCTCACCTGCCGCCCACTCCCTTCCTTGGTGCGCACCACTTCCTGCACAGGGTGTTCCCATGTTTCCTCCCAGGAGATTACTTTTAAGCCATGTTATTGAGATAAAATTCACATACCATATGACTCACCCGTTTGAAGTGTACGATTCAGTGGTTTTTAGTCAATTTGCAGAGTTGTGCAACCGTCACCACTAATTTCAGGGCATCGTCATCACTGAAAAGATACCACTTACCCCTCAGCCATCACCTCCACCCCTGTAATCCCATCTCTCTGTAGATTTGCCTGTTCGGGATATTTCGTGTAAATAGGATTTGGGTGACTTGTGTCTCCCCCATGGGCCTATGCGTGTCACGGGGCAGGGGCGCTCACCTGCACTCACTCACGTGTCCTTAGTGCCCGGCAGGTGGTAGCGCAGTGAATTTTCGCAGAATTTTGTCGTGCTGATCTGACAGGGCACAAATATGAATTTGTAAAGTTTTTCACTGAAGTTTTAATCATAAAAATTTGACGGGGGGGGGGTATAGACCCGGAATTAAGGGATTGATTAAAAATGATACTCTAGCTATTAAAACAACATTAAGGATGAATCCCAAATGTCAGGGAAGAATTCCTAGTGTACCAAGTACAAAAATCATCACCAGTGTGTCTCTACTAAATTTCTGAACATGATAGGTATAAGTTTTGTAACAGAAATCAAAGCAATAAATGTTACTTTTTTATTGTGATAAAATATGCATGACATAAAACGGACCATTTTAACCCTTTCTGAATGTGCACAATGGCATTAAGTACATTCACGTCGTGCAACCGTGTGTGTGTGTGAGCACGTGCACGCGCGCATGTGTGTCGGTCACCTTTCTCTGGAGAACTCTGACCAACACACAGGTGAATCTTTCTCTTTTCTTCTTTTTCTTCTTTTTAATTTAATTTTTATTGGAGTATGGCTGATTTACAATGCTGTGTTAGTTTCAGGTGTACAGCAAAGTGAATCGGTTACACATATATCCACTCTTTTCTAGGTTCTTTTCCCATATAGGTCATTACGGAGTATGGAGTAGAGTTCCCTGTGCTCTACAGCAGGTCCTTATGAGTTATCTATTTTATATATAGTAGTGTGTATATGAGGAGGTGAATCTTTGTCTTCTGAGATTTGGTGGTGGATTCTTAGATTTGACACCAAAAGCATGAGCAACAAATTTTTAAAAATAATACATTGGACTTTATCAAAATTTAAAATCTGTGCATCAAAGGACATTACCAAGAAAGTGAAAGACACCTAAAGAGTGGGGGTGGGGCGGGCCCTCCCTCCATGCCGGACGTGCTCCCCCGGCCCACGCGAGCTGGACCTGGGCCGACCCCTCACCGTCCCCCGCATTATGCCGGGGCACCCCCGGGCCCAGCCACGTGCCTGCCAGGCTCCACTGTGGGGCTGCCTTGCATGGACGTGGGCTGAGAGGGCGCGATGCCCGGGTCACCAGCCCTGTGGGGCTGAACCTCTCCGTCTGATGGCTTGTTTCCAGGCCTGGTTCCCCGCATCTCCCCTTCCCACCCCTGCCCGTTGCATCAGCACCTGGGCCAGCTGGACACTGAACAGGTGTCTGCTGAGCTCCTCCTGGGACACGAAGACCAGCCTCACCCTTGTCCGCAGGGGTGCCCCGTCATGGGGACGCAGAAACGTGGCCGCCCCACGACCTCCTCTCTGCCTGTCCTGGCAGTTGGCGTCACTTCCCGGAGCTGCTGAGCGGGAGGGAACCCTGGGTGCTCCGGCGCGTGTGAGCACCGCTGGACAGAGCCGCGGGAGGCCTAGGTCCCCCGGTCTCCCACCAGAGGGGGTGGGCATGGTGGCTTTAGGGGTCTGTGCACAGCGCTCTCCTGCTGGATGGATTCTTTTCCGGGGCGCGCAGCTCCATGGAGGCCGTGCTGGGCAGGAGGGACCCTGCTTGCTCACTGGGGGGCAGCCCAGGCCTCCCCAGGACCCAGGAGGGGAGGCAGGGTCCCTCCCTGCCCCCATCGCTGCTTTCTGAAAGAGGAGATGGCCAGGATTCCCCAAACTTGCCTTTCTTCTGCCTGTTTTCACTCTGCCTTTGCACTGAGACCACTGCATTTACCCACCAAGTTAAGGCTCTGCCTTGGGAAATTGTCCCTCAAACACGGTTAATTGAACCATGACCGTTAGCTCATGGAAGATCCGTGAAGCAGCCCAGAAGGAATGGAGGCCCGGCCGTGCCCTCTGCCCTCCGCTGGCTCAGGACACAGGCCCTCGAGCTGGCCTCTCCTCGGGGCCTGAAGGCCACTGGTCATGCTGGTCACGGCCAGGTGTGCCCCAGGGGGGGCCTCACAGCCCATGTTTTTCCTGTTTTTAGAAAAAAAGGAAATCTTTTTGCCCATGAAACCAACCTTTTTTTTTAGGGGAAAACAGTCTCCTCGTTCAACTTCGTTTTTCAGTTTTTCTCACTGAACTGGGTGTTTTCCAGAAGTAATGGGGGCTCCCAGCTGGATGGGTGACCAGACCCTGAGGCCTGAAATAAGATCCTGTTCGTCCTCAGAGACGTGCCAGCGGCTCCTCATTTACACAGACAAGCCCCCGAGGCGCCGACCTATGCTCCATGGGGCCGTGAGGGGACAGGCCCGTGTTCACGGGTGGACGGTCCCTGGGCACCCAAGAGGTGCAGGAGGCATCCAGAGAAGGGTCCTCAGGGATAGGTGCTCTCTCCGAGAGACAGGTCTGGAATGATGGTCGCGCGTCTGGAGATGGGTGGGGCTGTGGCTACGGAGGTGAACACGGGACCCCCTGCTGCGGAATCGGGGCGCCCGGAGCTGGCATCTGGGCAGAGTCAGATGGGCCGTGGGGCCCAGTCCAGTGAAGGGGGTCCTCTCGGGGCACGGGGACGCCCAGCAGGAGGGTCCATCCTGCCTGAGGGGTGACGGGAGGCTGCCCCCATCTTGAAGGGTGCCTGACCGTAGGCCAGAGTGCTAGGAGGGGAAGGGGGCTTTGGAGACAGCGGCCGGGACACGACATTCACAGCCTGGCGGGGCCGGGAACCGGGAGAGCCTGTGGCCAGTGTGAGTCGGAAAGTCTCGGGCAGCCCCCGGACCTGGGGCATGTGGACGGAACTAGGGAGAGGTGGGAGAGCTGGGAGGACAGCCTGCGGGGCGCTGTCTGGAAAAATCTCGCCCTGTCTGCGCCATGCTTCCGCAGGACCCACACCCCCAGGGGCCAGCCCTGGGGTCAGGGCTCCACGCTGGTGGAGGGCTGGGCTGGGCTTCACCTCCAACTCCTGTTTCCCTTTTGGAGTAGATGGTTCCAGGGCCAGTTCTCACCAACCTCTGCATTTGTGGCATATTTAAACACAAACCCAGTGTTTCCATTTTCAAGGAGGCAGATTTTAGCAACAAACCTTGATGCTGATTTATCTGATTGTGGCTGGGAGGTGTGCAGCCATATTTTTATCATTATTTTATGATCCCTCAAACGGACATAGGCTAATCAACTTCGAAAGAGGATAAAATCTGGGTCATAGTTTTCACTGCTTTTTTCTAAACTTATTTATGATTCAATCGCAGAGGGGAAGCGTGTGCGGGGTGTGGTCTGGGCTGGCCACGCGGCTGCAGGACTTGACGTCAGGCTGGCTTTCTGTCTTGGATGCAGTGGCCTCGTGGTCTATGCGGATGGACCCCTGAACCTGGACCGCAAGGCAGAGGACATGTCCGAGCTCTTCCGGCCCTTCCACACGTTGCTGCGGAAAATCAGGTTGGCGGGGTGTGGGGGGGTGAGAGAGGGGAGGGGAGGGCGGTGTTTGCCTCTGAGCCCCCTCCCTTCTGTGACTGCTCCTGGGGGTTGGCAATGACCTCTCTGGACAAGGCTGGTCTTGCTTTGCCTTTACTGGACACCTCAAGGGTGGGTAGCTTGTCCCTGCCGAGCTTTAGAGGGTGGTAAACCTCACACTTCTGTGTGAGCTAATTCTTTACCTTCTGTCCACCTCGGGGGTGCTGGGACCTTGGTCTCGGTCGTCGGCTCCTGGTTTCTACTGTTTGGAGCTCCTTTAACCCCACACCCTTCCTCCCTCACAGAACAAGTTCTTTGTTCTTGGCCGGTAGCGTTAAGACCTTTACGCAGATGTCCGGTCCTAAGACAGCGGCTGCCCTGGCTAAGGGCCTGGAAGCCAGGCCCTCTTCTGGTTTCTCACAGAAATGTCTCCGTGGCCCCGCGAGACAGATGGGGCCTATCTTACAGGCGAGGCCCTGAAACAGGGGTGGTGTGGGCCGGAGCAGGGCCACGCAGCCTGTGAGGGGAGGACGTCCCCCTGGGCTAGGCCACGCCCTCCACATTGGCTGGGGCTGGCGTCCAGGTTGGGGGCTGTTACTAGTTCTTTGACTAGTTTAGGGGGTGAAGTGCTCAGTTCTCTTGAGTGACCAGCGGGTGCCCACATGCTGTGGCTCATCCTGCCCACCCCCCGACCATCCCTGGGTGGCGCTGGCACCATCTGTGCTGTCCAGTGGGCTTGTGACATCTGGCCTGGGTAACCGAGCTCTGCCCTGAGGGCTTCCCTTGCCCTTCAGCATCTGGCCCTCCAGCCAGCACCCCTGACCTCAGCCTTCCCTTGAGAAACCTCACGTCAAGTTGTGTGGAGCCCTCACTGCTGGTGACCTCTGTGAGCTGACAGGGCCCGGCTCCTGCGGGGATGGGACAGCAGGGGGCTGTGGCCACATGTCCTCTGAGCACCTCCCTGGCCCCGTGGCCTCAGACGCCAAGGTCTTTCCTACCATGGTCCCTGGTCTCCGAGAAGCCCCCTTCCCAGGCTGTTGGTCCAGGGCTGACCCCGTGGACCCCTGCCACGCCTTTCCTGGGCCTGGCGGGACTTCCCAGCCTAGGGTGGCTTTCCTCTGCTGGTGCTTGTCCTTTCTGGGGGCCAGAGAGCACAGAAGCCGGCTCTAAACTGCCCTTTGCCCCATCGCAAGCCAAACGTGCTCTGAATCCAGTGAGGAGTGACCCGGGGGTTCCTTGGAGGGTCAGTGGGCACAGGGTGGGCGAGCCACAGTTGAGTGTCCCTAGCAGGACCTGACCCTGGACCCAGAGGCCGAGGCTTCTGCCCTCTCTGGGTGTCCGGCTGGGAGAGGAGACAAGGAAGGAGGGGAGAGGATGGACGATGCTGGGCCAGGAAAGGAAGCGTGTGGCCTGGGCCATGGGGGGAGGGGGAGGGGGGAGACGCCAGATGCTGGGGACTTGGGCAGGGAAAGAGTCCAGAACGTCAGAGATGTGTGACGTACTCAAAAGGCTGACGCACATAACTGGAATCAGAAGGAAGGAATGGAGAAAATGGGCAGAAGCAGTATTCAAAGAAATAATGGCCAAGAATTTTCCAAAATTGAAGAAAAATCTCTGTCCACAGATTCAGGAGACTGTTAAAGAAAACTACAAGCAAGATGAACACAAAACACATCTGGGTATATCACAGTAAAATTGCTGAAAACAAAGAAAAAACCTTAAACACAGCTAGAGGAAAAGGACATATTACTTTGAAAAGAGTGTACATCAACAGCTGTCTTCTCAAAAACGATGGAAGCCAGAAGGCAATGAAATGATATATATTTAAAGTGCTGAAAGCGAGACTTCCCTGGTGGTCCAGTGGTTGGGACTCCGCACTCCCAATGCAGGGGACCTGTGTTCGATCCCTGGTCGGGGAACTAAGTCCTGCATGCATGCCGCAACTAAAAGATCCTGCACGCCACAACTAAAGATCCCCCATGTTGCAACTAAAGATCCCCTATGCCATAACTAAGATCCCACATGCCGCAACGAAGATCCCACACGTGGCAACGAGGACCCCTCGTGCCACAACCTGGCGCAGCCAAAATAAATAAGTAAATATTTAAAAAAATATAATAAAGTGCTGAAAGAAAATAGCTGCCAGTCAGGATTTTACAACCAGGAAAAATATCCTTCAAAAATGCAGGTGGGGCTTCCCTGGTGGCGCAGTGGTTGAGAGTCCGCCTGCCGATGCAGGGGACACGGGTTCGTGCCCCGTTCCGGGAGGATCCCACATGCCGTGGAGCGGCTGGGCCCGTGAGCCGTGGCCGCTGAGCCTGCGCGTCCGGAGCCTGTGCTCCGCAACGGGAGAGGCCACAGCAGTGAGAGGCCCGCGCACTGCAATAAAAAAAAAAAAAAAAAAATGCAGGTGATATAGTGGGTTATTCAGAAACACGAAGCTGAAGAAATTGGTTATGAGCAGATTGCACATAAAGAAAGACTAATTGGAATTCTTCCTGCAAAGGAAAAAAATCTCAGATGGGGATGTGGAAGCACAGGAGAGACTTAAGACCCTGATGTGAATGAACATAAATGAATCTGCGCTGTACAAAACAATAATTGTCTTGTGGAGTTTAAATTATATACATCATAGTTTAACATTTGAAAATCAGTTTTTCTGTATTAATTTTTTAAAAAGGAAGAAAAACCAAATCATTTTGAAAGTTACAGAAAAATAATTTGAAAGATTAATGCCTATTTTATGATGAAAACATCTCTTAGCAAATTAGAAATAGAAGGGAATTTCCTTAATCTGATAAGAGATACATACATATGCACACACATATGAAGTTGGACCCTTAGCTAACACCATATAAATATGAATTAACTCAAAATTAATCAAGGACCTAAATGTAAGAGGTAAAACTATAAAACTCTTAGAAGAAAACATAGGACAAAAGCTTCATGAGATTGCATTTTGGCAGTGACTTCTTGGATGTAACACCAAAGGCACAGGTAACAGAAGAAAAAAATAGACAAATTGAGCTTTGTGAAAATTTCAAAATTTTGTCCATCAAAAAACACTACAATCGAGTAAAAAGGCAACCCATGGAATGGGAGGAAATATCTGTGTATCGTATATCTGCTGAGGGGTTAGTATCTAGACTATATAGAGAACTCCTAAAACTCAACAACAAAAAGCCTAATGATCTGATGCACATGGGCAAAAGACTTGAATAGACATGTCTCCAGAGAAGATACGTGAGTGGCCACCAGCACGTGAAAAGATGCTCAACATCACGATCGTCAGGGAAACGCAAATCAAAACCACAATGAGACACCACCTCACACCCACGAGGAAGGCTACTCTCAAAGAAACAGAAAACAAGCGCTGGGGAGGATATGGAGAAATTGGAACTCTTGTGCACTGTTGGTGGGAATGTAAAATGGTGCAGCTGCTATGGAGGTTCCTCAAAAAATTGAAATAGAACTACCGTATGATCCGGCAGTTCCACTTCTGGGTTTATACTGAAAAGAATTGAAAGAAGCATCTTGAAGAGATATTTGTACACTCGTATTCATAGCAGCATCGTTCACAATAGCTAAGACATGGAAGCCGCTGTTGACGGATGGATGGGTAAGCAAAACATGGTCCAGCCATACACTGGGATATTATTCAGCCTTAAAAAGGAAGGAAATCCTGACGCATGCTGCAATGTGGATGAACTTTGTGGACATGCTAAATGAAATAAGCCAGCCACAAAAAGACAGCTAATGTATGATTCCAATTACATGAGGTCCCTGGAGTCCTCAAAATCATAGAGACAAAAGGCGTAACTGTGGTTGCCAGGGGCTGGGGGAGGAGAGAACAGGGAGTTACTGTTTCATGAGGACAAGATGAAATTGTTACAGGGACGGATGGTGGTGACGGCTGCACCGCAATATGAATGTACTTAATGCCACTGAACTGTCACGTAAAATGGTTAAGATGGTAAATTTTATAAGTATTTTATCACAATAAAAAAATTTAAATATTATCTACAGTGGTGTCAATAAATTTTAATTAGCGTAAATCTGAGATGTCTAAGACCTCCACTGAAAGTTACAAAATGTTTTTGATACAAAATTTTAAAGACCTAAATAAATAGCTATTCCATATTCAGGGAGTGGAAAACTTAATATTGAGAAGATATCAGTGATTCTCAAATTAATCTATGAATTCAATGCAACCTCAATCAAAATCCCAGGAGGTTTTTTCTTTTGCAGAAATTGACAAACTAATTCTAAAATTCCTATAGAAAGGCAAGGGGACTAGAACAGCCAAGAAGAAAAAGATTGCTGGAGAAAAAGGACAAAGAAGAAGAATATTATCTATCTGTTCTGCTCTTCATGGTTTTTGGGTAGTTTCCAGACGGTGCTGGTGTGACCGAGCTTGTGAACGTATGTGTGCATTTCTGCTGGGTGTGCTTCATTAAAAAAGTGAGCAGAGCTGGAGACACTTCCTGCCGTATAGCTGTAGTCGTACTGGCAGAGATGTAGTGCACGGGGCATTCAACGGAACAGAGGGTCTGGTGCGACCAACACATGATTCATGACAGAGGTGACAGAGCACAACAGTGGAGAATGGTTGGCTTTTTCCAATGAATGGCTGAATCAGCAAATATCCATATGAGGAGAAAGACCCGTAATACACTCCTATGAAAACGTCAATTCTAGGTAGACTGCAGATACAAACGTGAAAAGGAAAAGAACGTTTTCAGAGGGAAAGGTCGAGTACATCTTTGTGATCTTGGAGTAGGCAAAGATTTCTTCACCAGGGCACAAAAGCGCTAATCACAGAATAAAATGACATTTTGGACTTTACTGGAATTTAAAACTTCAGTTTGTCAAAAGATACCTTTGAGAGAGTGAAAAGGCCGCAGAGTTGGACACAACATCCAATAAAGAACTCAGATCCACAATACATAAAGAACTCCTGTCAGTCAGTAAGAAACAGTTAACCCAATAAGAAATGGGTGAAAGTCCTGAACAGGCACTTCAGAGAGGCTGTCTAAGGCTCCATCAGCGTATAAATGGGTGCACGACCTCCTGAATGAGCAGGATAAAGCAGTTTAAAACCACGAGGAGATACCACTGCACACTTACCAGAGACGATGAAGTGGAAAAGTGCAAGTGCCCATGAGGGTGTGGGGCATGCAGAACTGTCAGCGGGCCCTGTGGGCTGTCGGCGGGGACACACCCCTCACCAGCACTCAGCACGCGTGCTTGCAGAAACACACCCCCTGCTCCCCAGGACAGGGGCTCAAAGATGCGGCCATGGCCCCTCCGGGGTGGAACAGCTTCAGAGGTGAACTGTGATGCGTTTCCACCAGGAGACGGAATGATCTACAACGACCGTGAATCTCACCAGAAAGGGTTGTCAAGAGCTGGCAAAGGGAAACAGAATATGCGATTAAGGGGAGTTCTCTGGTGGTCCAGTGGTTAGGACTCTGCACTTCGGCTGCCGAGGGTGCAAGTTCAATCCCTGGTCAGGGGGAACTAAGATCCCACAAGCCAAGCACCCAAAAAAAAAAAAAAAAAAAAAAAGGCATAGGAAAAATAAAATGTAATTGCACATAAAGGTTTAAAAAAAAAAGAGTGTGCAATTAAATTTAGATTTCAGATAAACGATAATACTTTGTTAGTGTAAATATGTCCCCAGTGGGGGCCATTTTGGACATACTTACTCTAAAAAGTATTTGCTGTTTATCTGAAATTCCAGTCTAACTGGGTGTCCTGTGTTTCATCTGGCACCTCTGCACAAACATAGCACTGGCAAACATGCCTGCCACGGAGGAGTGCAGACCGCAGATTGCCGTCTATCTAGAGAAGGAGAACAGGGGAGACCACCGCTGTGGTAGTCGGGATCGTGGTCACGGCGAGGAGTGACCAGGAAGGCACGTGGGGGGCGCCTGGGAGCCCAGGTAGCACTGTATTTCTTGATCTGGGTGCTGTTTGCAGGGTGTGTTCAGTTTATGAAGATCCACAGCTGAGCAGTTCTGAGAAGTGCACCATTCCACGTGTTTCCCCGCCTGCACTGGGATGTTGAACCAGGCGCTGAGACCTCAGGCCTGAGCTCTTCCCGGTGGAGAGCAGCATACGCCGGCCTGTGGGACCCACTTTGGGCTCATCCCCGTCGTCGTCATTAGAGTCACTCCACCTTGGGTGTCGGTTCAATGCCGCTCCCCCCAGGGAAGGCGCCCTGCTGTGCCCCCTTCTGGTGGCTCCTTCCTTGGCTGCTGTGGTCATTATTGTACTTAAGTCTTCCCTCGTAAATATTTCTTATCTGTCTCTTCCTACGGAACCTGCTCAGCAGGGACCATGCCAGTCTTCCTGTGTGTCACCCAGGGCCTGGCACATAGGCAGTGCTCAGTAATATTTGTTGAAGCAAAGAATGAAAATCTATATATAAACCAATATATATCCTTTCACTCCTGAAAGTTTTTATTAATTGATTAATAATTTATAATTTTATTAATACAATTTTATTTTATTAATTTATTAACATATTATCGCGAAGAATCAGGGTTTTCAGCAAGAGAGTTCAGAGTCTCATTTTTAAGCAAGGGCACATTCTAGAATCACCGTCAGCCACCCACACGGCTGTTGTCCTGACCCGCGGCCCGGGGGACCCCTGGAGACGCACCTCTTTTGGTGGAGGAAGCGACATGGTGGGAGGTTAATTGCAGGCAGTGGACACCGTGTTGCTCTCCTGCTGGTGCCGAGCCCACTCGGCCTGGGGGCTGGTGTGGCCTCTGGGACCCACACTCTTCCTTTCTGTCTTGACGCATGTAGGGATTTGCTGCGGACCCTGACCGAGGAGGAGCTTCACACGCTGGAACGGAACCTCTGTATTTCCCAAGACGTGGAGTTCCCCATCCGGGCGGACACCCCGGTGCCCCCTGCCCTGGAGCCCGCCCTGCCCGCACCCCTCGGCCCGGCGGAGCCCAGGCACGCAGAGGCGGAGCTGGCGTGCTCCGTGCAGGACGACGACCAGGAGCTGGAGCAGCTCAGCCGCATGGTGCACAGGGCTGGGGACGCGATGTCCTCTCTCCTGTCCCCGCCCAATGCCTGCCAGTCCCCCGCGCACGGGCCGGGCGCCGAGCGCGGTGCCCTCGGGCAGGCATCCCCGGGCGGACCACGGCTGCCGCCGGGCAGCGACGAAGAGGAGGGGAGGGTGTTCTTCATGGAGGATGTGGACGGGGCGGCAGAGCCCCCGGGCGGCCGGTGTGGGCGGGCGGGCGGCCCCCAGGAGAGAGGGCGGGGCGGGGAGAGCCGAGGGGCGGGGGCCGGAGCAGCCGCCGCAGCCGAGCCGGAGGACCTGAGCGGCAGCAGCGGCGTGCAGGGCGACCAGACGCGGGCAGTGGGCCCTGGCTCTTGCAGCTGCCCGGACTCCCAGCCGCAGCTGGATGGCTGGGAGGCGAGTGCGGAGGACGCCCAGACGGCCGAGCTGATCGCCCACCGGACGGGGGGCATGAAGCTCTCGGCCACGGTCATCTTCAACCCCAAGTCGCCCAGCTCCCTGGACTCTGCCCTCGCCAACCCAGAAGTCCTCGGAAACGGCGTCTCCCCCGGGGAGCCGGCGGCCGAGGGGACGGAGGGCGGCCCCCACAAACTCAGCGCCACGGCTGCCAACAGCCTTCTGAACTCCTGCGTGTGCTGCAGGGGCTGCGCGGGCAGCAGGGAGGACGCGGCGGAGAGCCTGCGCGGCAAGTGCGGCTCGGGAAGCATCATCCGCTCCTCTTACGTGGGCTCCGCCAAGGCCTGCGCCAAGGGCTCGGCCGCGGGACTGCTGGAGGTCCGGCCTACCCCGGAGGCCTTGCCCACGGCGCTGGGCGTCCCAGACCCCGGGCCCTCCGAAGACGCCCCCGGCGGGCAGGAGCCCAAAGCCCCCACTTCCGACAAGTGCCTGGCACACACCTCAGGGCCCCTGGTGGACGCGGCAGACGGGCTGCCTGGAGGGGGCGGCGGAGCGAGTGAGCAAAAGGAGGCTGAGGCCTGGCAGCCCTCGGAGGCCGGGGAGGAGAGTCGGCGTGGAGGGGCGGCCGGGGAGGAGGCCCAGCACCTGCCGGGCTCCAGGTAAGAGCCGCTCTGGCCCCTGGACTCACCTCTAGTCGGTTTAGCTGCTGGTCAGGCCCTCCTGGACCCAGTTGCCACATCCAACCGAGAAGCGCCCCTCGTAGCCCCGACCGCCCCGTTTCTGGCGTGACGGGCACCTTCAGGTGAGTGGGTGCAGCTTCGGGCCCTCGGTTCGCCCCTTCTCACTGCTGTGGTGTGACCGGCGTGTGCGGACCGGCCGGGGCTGGGCCCCAGCACGCACCTGACCGGCGTGGCAGCTCCCGTGGGCCGCGGTTAGCCACAGAGACCCTCAGCTCTGCCCCGGGGGCAGCGGTGGGATCCCGAGACCACCCTGGGGCAGATTCTCGGGCAGTGCCCCCAGGACCCTGTTCTCTCCCCCAGAGGCAGCTGAGCGGGCAGGGCTCTGTGACACCCTGGCTCCTACACATCTGGCTCACGGCAGCTCTTCCTCCCCCACCCCACACCCGGGGCTTATCCTGAATGAAGCAGATTCAGCCAGCGCTGCCCCGGTGCCCGCCACATGCCCCTGGCTCCCATCCTGGACGTGGGAAAGGAGGAGCCGGGCTCAGCCTTGGGGCCTCACACGCGGCTGTTGCACTGTCCTCTCACCAGACCCTGCCTCGCAGGCTCCCATCCTGGCTTCACTGTGTGCAAAGGGAGGTGGGAGGATGGAGAGAGGAGGGGGCTCAGCCCGGAGGCTGGACAGGCCCCTGCCCGCAGCCGTGGGAGCTGTGCACAGAGGTCAGCAGGGAGGGGCCACCTGGGTGCAGGGGCAGATGCCTTGCAGGCCTGTGCAGCCACTGCCGCCTTCTTCCTGGAGCAGCGTGTGGCCAGCTCCCCCAGCAGTGGGCAGGGGCTGGCCGGGAGCCCGTGGGGTTCAGGGCCGCTTTTTTCTTCTCGAGCTGAACTCTGAGGCTCCGCCGCAGCCTTTTCTGTGTGGGTTCTGTAGGCATTCCCCAGCCCCTCACAGCCACGAATCTACTTTCTGGCTCCGTGAATTTGCCTGTTCTGGACGTTTCATAGAAGTAGAATCACTCGTTATGTGACCTTTTGTGTCTGGCTTCTTTTGCTGAGCATCATGTTTTCACGGTTCACCCACCTTCATGCAGGTGTCAGGACTTCCTTTCTATGGCTGAATAATATTCCACTGTACGGATGGACCACATTTGGTTCATCTGTCGATGGGCAGGTGTGTCGTTTCCACTTTTTGGTTATCATTGAGTAATGCTGCTGTGAACATCTATGTACAGGTTTTTGTGTGGTTGTGAGTTTTCAGTTCTTTGGGTGTCTCTAGGAGAGAATTAGTGCTTCACACGGTGCCTCTACGTTCTGAGGAGCTGTCACCGGCAGTTTTCATTCCCTGGTCACGTGCGAGGCTCCTGTTTCTCCACATCCTCACAAATACTTGTCATCATCTAAGATTTTTTTAACAGTTCTTTTGATCTTCAGGCATATCCCACTAGAATATATAGCTGAGTGACTGCTTTCAACTCACTTGAGATCATTCTGTTTCTGAGGTCATGCCCAAGTTTTACCCACAGCAGGTTAATTTGTTCCATTTAGCATGAGCTGTATAGAGATTTCCATTTGCATTTAATTTAATTTTATGATTATGTGAAAAATTTGCATGGTTCCCGGCCAAGTCTACAAAATAAGATATATCTAGAGAAATCTGTCTTTCTACCTTATTCTCCTCCTCTGCTAAAGTTACAGTTTTCCAATATTTTATAATTTATCCTTCAATTTAAAAGGTAGAAGCAAGGATGTACACACACACACACACACACGGAAACACACGGGCACACACACGGACGGACGGGCACACACACACAGGCATACACACACGGACACACACATGGGCACGTTTTCCGCTCCCATTCTTTGGCAGAGGACCTCGTCCTTCTCTGCCTTGCTTTCCTGATCTGCTAGCCTGAAGGCCTGTGGCCTGTCCATGACAGTTTCTAGAGATGTCTCCACTGTCAGTTTCAGCCACGTGGGACCGCACTGTGTGGCTGGACCACCGTGCAGTCAGGCCCTGCCACCTGCCTCGTGGCTGTTTCCGGTCTTGCTCTTACAGACGGCGCTGCGATGAGCAGCTATTTTTTAAAAATTATTTATTTATTTGGCTGCGTCGGGTCTTAGTTGCGGCACGCGGCATCTTCCTTGCAGCACGCGGGATCTTTCGTTGCGGCGCGTGGGCTTCTCTCTAGTTGTGGCACGTGGGTCCAGAGCGTGCAGGCTCAGTAGTTGCAGCACGCGGGCTTAGTTGCCCCATGTTGTGTGGGATCTTAGCTCCCTGACCAGGGATCGAACCTGCGTCCCCTGCATTTGAAGGTGGATTCTTAACCACAGGGCCACCAGGGAAGTCCCGATGAGCAGCTCTTTGTGATGAGGCCATTTTTTAGGTTCAAGCCCAACATCATAATGTCCAGTGGAATGAATTATTGTCCACAACCTAAGGAGCGGCTTCCTCCCTCAGGGCCTCCAACTCAGTGGCCCAGAGTTGATTGGTAAGTGGATCATTTTCCTACGAGGCTGATATGAAGCCATCACAAATTCTTTGACCAGATACATGGACTTTTCAGCTTTTGACCTTCCTCCCTTTTCTTGCTGTGTCCAGGTGACAGTCAGTGGACACTTACTCTGTCTGGAACCCCCTCCTGCTTTCCTGACGTGTCCCGCCGTGGACACTGCTTGTTCACGTCAGGCCGGCAGCTTCCCAGGCCTCCTCTGGCTTAGCACAAATGCAGAAGCTGAGCTGAGAAAAGGAAACAGCCTCCATGGAGGCCTCGGGAGATGCTCCCATCTCCCAGGGAAGCATTTCCAGAAGGTGCAGAGGGTCTGAGGGTGGCCAGGGGATCAGGGCAGCCAGGCCTTTGGGCCAGGACCGTGGACAGCGGCGCCCGGGGCCCAGCACTGCGCCAGGAGCAGCTGAGAATCGGGTCAGCAGGTGGCGCCCGTGCCCTCCGCGGGCAGCGCAGACATGGCAGCGTCATCCCTTCACATCGCACGTGGGTTCCTGGGTGGCTGAGCAGGGTGCGGGGGAGGCGGCCCAACCTTGCAGAGCGTGATCTCACACGAATGGAGGGGCAAAAGCAGCCTGTTGAAACAGACAGACACAGAAGACCAGCCTCACACAGGCAGCAAGTTCACCAGAACTCGGACGGCGAGATCCCGGGCGTTGGATGGCGTTGTTAGTATCATCTGTGCACAGCCTCCCATGAACACAGCCAGTCTTGTGTCGGGTGCAGGTGACCCCCCGCCCCTGGCAGACGGAGAGACGGACCCCGGAGAGGCTGGCACCCGCCGTGGCTCGAAGAGCCTAGAGGGGCTGGCATCACCCTTGACCTGCCTGAGCGAGAGCCCGTCTGTCTGGTGACGTGCTTGGTCATCACTCGGCCGTGACGAGCCAACATCCTGAGCTGACCATGAGGCTGCCTGTCCAGCAGGTCCCCCTGTGGCCCCTGCCATGCACGGGAGTAGGAGTCACCGCATGTGTGGCCCCGTGCGTGAGTCAGACGGGTGCAGCCTCAGACCTCTGTGCCACCTTTGAGTCGGGTGCCATGAAGGGGACGCACCAAGCCGCGACCACGAGTCTGCTTTTGGGGCCACGTTCCCCGAGGACGCCTGGAGTGTCACCTCCCACACAAGCAGCGCACAGCCTCTGGGTGGAAGGACGGGGCTGCCGGGGGTACGGCGCAGGCCGGAGGTGGCTCCTGGAGCAAGGGCCCGGGCGGGAAGAGCCCTGCACATTCCCCCAGGCCCTGTCTTCAGCGGCTGCACACAGGCCGGTTCCAGCCGTGCTGTTGCCCGGGGTAGGGGACATCGCCCCAGCACAGTCGTGGGCAGAATGTTTCAGAACCCAGTGTCCTTCAGATCTTTTCTTTCTTACCTTTTCAGTGCTTGAAGATTAACCTTTTTTGGGGAAAACTTAGCATTTTTAAAAGCTTCCTGTTTTTTGCCTAGACTCACCTCATCAATCAGAACTGTCCACACTCTCGAGGCTGGCAGGAGAGCTCACTTGTCTAGAGGATGGAAACTCGCCCCCTCTTGGGTCTTTTACTAAAGTGAGTTTCCAACCTTCTTGAAAAAATAACACTGACTCTTGCTTTTTTCTAATTACAATTGTGGTCCCCACTCATTGTAGAAACTTATGAAAACATAAAGAAGAGTAAAAGAAGGAAATAAAAACCATTCCAAATCTGATGAGCAGTTTTGTTATTTTTTTCACTGAATATTATTTAATGATCATTTATCTGCAAAATTCATTAAAACACAGTATTCGTAGGACTTAACGCTAACTTGCTGTACGTTTTCCCATTTCCGTATTTTGTCGATTAGCCTTGTGGTCCCTCTCCTTACGGTTCTGTGTCTGTCTCTGGGCATCCACCCTTAGGAGTAGAGTCGCCCCAGCAAAGGCATGACCCTTGCCTTCACACTCCCTTCCTCAGCAGTAAACCGCCCCCCCACCCCCCACACCCACACACCCCCACACCCACACACCCACACCCCACCCCCACAGCCCCACCACACACCCCACCCCCACACCCCCACACCCCCACCACACCCCACACCCCCACACCCACACCACACCCCCGCACCCACACCCCACCACACCCCCACCACACCCCACACACCCACACCCCACCCCCACACCCCCACACCCCCACCACACACCCACACCCACACCCCCAC